AGCTCTGACACCGTCAAAGGCAGGTTTTACGACGCCCTGAATGCTCTGCTGCGGCGAGCTAAAAGCTCAGACATTGTGGTTATTGCCGGAGATATGAATGCGCAAGTGGGCAAGCTTAGTGCATCTGAAACTCAACTGGGAGGTCGACTTGGACTGGACTCGGTACGTACGGACAATGGGGAACGATTGCTTCAGCTGTGTGCTGATCGCAAGCTGTTTTTATGCAGTACTAACTTCCGAAATAGCCGAAGTCGTCTGGCCACTTGGTGTTCTCCAACATCTTACGGCAGTGAAGCGTCAGTGCCAACACTGATGTTGCTGTCTTTGATGATGATGATGATGATGACCATCTCGAATAAAGAAGGAATGCCTCGACCGGTGGGCTAAATACTTCGAAAAACTGCCGTGGCGACTAGCTGGCACTCATCTAGAGCCCACAGGTGAAGTAAGACCCTGAACGGTGAACGTGGAAACACCTATGGCCTAGGAGGTTTACGACTGCATATGTTCTCTCAAGCGCCACCGAGCTCCTGGCCCGGATGACCTCCCACCCGCACTGTTCAAAAACGGGGGTGAAGTCCTCAGTCAGCGCTTGTCCGATCTGTTTGATTGCATTTGGAAAAAGGAGTATGCCCCAGACAACTGAGGAGAATCGGTGATACTGCCGTTTTCAATAAAGGGGCGCGTAGTGACTGTGGTAACCACAGGGGGATCAGCTTGACCCCGGTCGTAACGAGATTGTTGGCGTCAATTGTGCTGCGTCGCCTTAATGTGGCACGTGAGATACTGACTCGAGAGCAGTAAGAGGGATTCCGGCTTGCTAGACGTTGCGCTGACCAAACCTTCACACTTCGTCAGGTGCTAGAACAACACCATACGTATAAGCGACCCTCAATTCTAGTATTCCTGGATTTCCGAGGCGCATTCGACTCGGTTGATAGGTCTGTTCTTCTTGACACGCTTGTCCACCAAGGAATGCCTCGTAAGCTCATAAACATCATAAGTTCCTTGTATCCTCAGATTTCCGAACGTGTGAGAGTATACGGAGAGCTCTCCAAAAGCTTCCGTGCACAAAGCGGTGTGTCAGGGATGTCCACTCTCTCCATTCCTTTTCCACTTCGTGATCAACGAAATAATCAGACGGACGCCGAAGGGTCCCCAAAACCCTGGTCATCAAATAGCCTGTGAAGAAGAGGTTACGTCAATCATATATTTTTCCGAAGCAGCGACACTGCTTCTAGCAACCAAAAATGGTTGTCTTTCTTGACTTGAAAGCTGCCAATGACTCTGTGGACCATCAAACATTATGGCAGCCTCCATGTCCCTATCCACTCTCATACCTTCTAAAGGTGTTCTGCGCTAACCTACGCGGACGAGTGGGTGACCGCGGGAAGCACTCACCTGGATTCAGTTCATCAAGTGGCCTCAGTGACGGTTGTTCTCTTTCACCTACCTTCTTCAACTTCGTCATTGGTATGACTAAGCAACACTCAATCCCAGCCTCCAGTATCTGTGGGATCAAAATTCTCCCAGGGCATTCACTCACGGATATCGAGTAAGCGGACGACATAGCCCATCTTGTATCTGACGGTACTGTAATACAGGCAAGATCAAATAATCTGGATAATTCTGCCCCATGTTTTGACATGCGCCTCACACCTACCAAGTGTAGAGTGCTGCTACCAGAATTGGAGGCTCGAAATTTAATCCCAAGGTAACAGACAAACTCATCTACCTGGGTAGCTGTATCAATCCCGGTGGCCTGGCTAAAGACATTTTTATCCGGATCGGGAAGGTCAGAGCAATTGTGGTAAGCCTGCACCGCCTGGAGCGAAGGTAAGGCATTGGCTCATCTTCCAACAGCCGAGTTTACAATGCTGCGGTGAGCTCCACAATAGCAATTTTACATACGTGTCAGGAACTCCGTCTATGAGCACTGACATCAGAGAACTTTCCGTGTTAGACCATCAATGTCTCCGGCGCATTGTCCGAGTTTGGTGGGAAAGCCAGATTAGTGATGGTGGAGCAGGTCGAATGGTCTTCGGAAGAACTAACTGGAGATAAATGAACTAATCACCCCATATAGGTCGCGCTGGCTTGGTCACGTACACCGTATGCCACTCAACCAACTCCCTCGAAGAGCCCTTTTCGCACAATCACCTGAAAGGGGGCGAGCCACGGGGAGTCAAACAATGACTTGACAACGAAGTATGCAGGCTATTACCAGAAAACCCAGCTGAGTTGGTCATCATCAACGCCATGGACTCGGAGACGGAAAACATCGATGGTTAGAGACATTCTCAGACATGGCCCGGTGACGCCCTCGATGGCGCTCATGCATTCAAGCTGTTCCTTCAATGCATAGCTTCCCTCCCGATCACAATCATAAGTCCACTGATACCACTGTGTTTACGCATCAACCACATAAGCGACTACCTCAAGTGTGTAGCTATCTACTTCTGAAATCACTCGTGAACGAAAGCTGCAGCTATAACTACTGCACAGCAAGTACACGGATTTTATGGCTGACGATGATGGTGCGGTACGCCTGTTCGGGCTTCCAAAGTTTACCGGTCCTCTAAAGGTAATTAGCACACTAAACTCCCATGTTATGTGGATTCTCGAGTGAACGCATGTGAAATAACTATATTCAACCATTGAAAATCACTAGAGATTTCCAGTTACTCCTGCTTATCCACCATCTTCTGACACTGTGGAATCCTATCTCATTCAGCAATCCGCGGCATATTCGCTTCATGGCTTATCGTTTTCGAAAAGTTGTCTGGTAGTCCCAGGTCTTCTCGCGACTCGGTCAGGATCCTTCTTTCGATTCATAAAATACTGGCCTGCGGCAGTGGAACATCAGTATCAACACTGACATTGCGGTCTTTGATCATGATGATATCTCCGGCCCGAATGCTAAGCACCTGAGAGCCTTAGATTCACCTCACCATATAATACGGCGTCGGGCCTGAACTGGAACCCCTTCCACCTTTCATTACTCGGCCAAGTTAAACGGAGAGGAGTGCCCATTTACTCCTCTCGGATGACTCATCCCGAAGAAGTCCAAAAATGACTTCTTTATTCTAAGTTACTTAACACAGTGAAAGTCCGTAAACTCGCTCAATCCACCTCTTCAACTCACCATCCATTTCAAGTCCGGATTCTCCACAGTCGCACGGAACTACTCTCCTTTTCTTTGTCTGTTTCAAAACAGCCCACTTCTGAAACCTTCACCCTTTGGTTTTCTAATTCCTGGTTTATCCATCCAAACCTCCTCGACTATTGGACTCGTGTATACTCGCCCACTGAGTATCCGCAACGTTTCGACGCCTATTACTGGGCCTCCAGTTCGGGCAGAAAGCTCTTGACTACAAGTTTTCTATTCCTCTGAAGTCCATCTGCGTGAGTACTGAGAAAACTACATGGTGACCGATTTCTAAGAGATGTGAAGGAGTGTGAAGGACGATCTTACTTGTTTTCTAAGACATCCGCCTTTGACCACACTGAGAATTTCGGTATACTAGTTCAAACAACAGGACAAGATTGCCAATGTAATCAGTGGTTGGGTCTTTTATCACGAACTTTCAATGACATCAAATACAGCGATAACGTGCCCAGTGTCTGGACTGATCCTAGCGGTCGACCACAGCGGACTCATCTGACGTAATACGCAGCCAAACAAATCAAAGGGTTGTTAGGTCAAGTCCTTGCACCCGAATCCCCGGGCTATCCTGGTCATTGCTCTCTCTCTCTCACTGACCCAAATCCAGAAACAAAATGCCTTGTGAAGAACACGCACCAAACTGTCATGGTGGATCAGAGAAGTCGATCCCGTAATCAGACATGGAAGAAGCTGTTTATATGGAGGATAACTGTAGGGATAAGGCGGAATGCACCGACAAAAACCAGAGTTACTTTACCGTTTATGCACGGGAATTGAAAGACTGACTCACCATTTGCCCCACATGACATACACGAAGACCAGTGGCAAGGGGGAAGACAGATCTCGGTGCATTTGACGAGCCAGCAGAATGAGGATGGCAGTGAGAATTTCACAATGCAATGCATAGGTCTCGGAACTAATCCAGTTTATTGGCAAAATCACTACTTACTTCACTGGAACCTTGAGCAAAAGGCTAAAAAGCACCTGGAAAAAGCACTCTAACAGAGAAGAGGAACCAAAAACTGACATTCATTCACGTAAAGTCGTACTCATTACCTTCGACTGACCCATCTGCTAGATGTTTCAGAAAATTCTGCTCAGTTGTATGCTCTAGTAGATATTTCGCAGATATCCGAAAGACAAGGAGTGAGTTTTGGACGACAGTAAGAAGATTTCTATCACTATCGTGAAGTGAGTAAAGTCAAAAACTCAACCCACTAGTTTCCACCAGATCGGAAATCCGACCCCAAAAATTCAGTTCCTTGGGAAACAACGAACTTCATCAATGCAGACAAGTTGTGTGTTTTAATGTTGTGTTTCCGGAACTCTCGGAGAACTGACGGGTTTACTTCTTCAAGCCTGTTCATTTCGTTGCTGAAAGTGCACGATGTGTGGCCATTGGTATTTAGCAGCTTACTATTCTGCTGGAAGCCATTTTATGTAAAGAAATTCCCTCCACAATGGGTCAGCTGGAGAAATGGATTCACCTCCAACGTATTTTCTCAGGAATTCATTAGCCGATATACCATTCAACGCGCTTGCACTCGATCCCATCAGACGCGTAATCAGGTAGCGCCCCGATTCAGAATGACCGCGTCATTTCTCAAGGCCAAGCGGTCGCGCGTGAAGTTTTTATGAAGTTGATTTGGAGAGGACGTGAAATTGTAGTCAAATGCATATAGTTTTATTTTATTAGTGTTATCTGCTTATAACTTTATGCGTGTAGATTTTCCGCTATTGTTAGACACGGCGTTCATGATGTTCAAGGTCACTGCTGAAGTGAGCTTCACTCAGGTGACATTTCGCTCAGTAAGCACGACATAACTGCGTAACAATGGTCGGTAAACTTTTATGCGTGTTTGTTAGCCTCCTTCATGTGTGCTACGGTATTGAACGCAGCAGGGGTGCACTCGGGCCTAGAGTTTTCACTTTTGTTCATGGTGACGACAGTGCAAGGTTGGATTTCATGACTGCAGATTCGTATTGCCGAACACGTGTTGGAACCGAACAGCCTCCCTCAAAACCTGTGGGTATAATCGAACACGAAGATGGAGTTTTCGCGAAACAACGGCACAGATCCTTTAGTAATGAAACAAATAGCGATGACCTAATGCTTGAGACCAGACTAGCGTCATTGCACTCCTACCCGGAAACGCTTGCTCTTGTTAAATGGATTTCGAAACAGGAGAAACATTCTTTCTGGATCGGTGGAACAGTCACCAAAACTCTGAACGAGTACCTTCGCCCCATATACGTTCTGCAATGGACGGATGGGAGTCGAGGTGACTTCAGCTTTTTAAAACTGCCTAGCGAGGAACTGTCGGAAATAAGAGTTGGTGAACAAAGATGTATCTCTGTGGACTATCTGTCAGGGCAGTGGGGCCTGCATCCATGTGAAGAAAAACGATACTTCGTCTGTCTCACCGTTCCAGTACTCAGGAATAAAGTGCGACACACCCTTCCCACAACTATTCCAAGTCCTGCAAAACAGCCATCGTGGGTCGCTCCACCTCCCGTCCTTCGAAGCCCATCCCCTCGAAATCAACTAACAGCTGAGGAGCTACGCCGGCTTTTGTCATGATAAACTTATCACAACCTCATCAAATTGTCATTTCGTTGAACTCACTCCGCTTTGATCTATGGTATGTTACCGCATTTAGTGCTCAATATATCGAAATTTCGGCAAGAAAAATATATTTCGTTTCAATGAACTTATTCTGCAGCACAATTATACAGACTTCGTCAGAGTGGTTGCCATGATTTTTCATGGTATTGCTTCTTAGTTTAGCATTTGTGGAGGTGTGGAGTGAAAAAATGTGCTCACCTTAGTTTCACATCACTCACCCAGTATTTGTACCATTCACGAAGTCATACGTTTGGATCAAATAATTTTGCCATGCACAAACATAGTGGTTGGTCTGGGTGTTGGCTGAAAACAGCATCGCATCGATTCACACATCTGAATTAAAAGATTTTAGAGGTTTCTGTTACCAAAAGACACAGTGGTGTTGATATTTACACTCAATTGCATAGTGCTATTTGTGGCAGTAATTTACTCATCAAACCCACTATTCAGCATCTGCGCTTCATGTGGGGAGAAATTTGTCAACATTGGGGCTTATTCTGTAACTGAAAATTCCAAGGGGTATACGGAAAACCTATCTACCACCTTACGCTCGCACTTCCTTCTTAGTGGGTTGGGAAGGGAGAATCGAACACTCGCCACTAAACATTCCTTAATACAATCCGGTTTAAGCCTCTTCACCTTAACTGCTCTCAAAAAATTTGTTTTATTAGTGCCACTCAAGACTAGCATTTTCCGAGGTACTTACCTAGTTTTAGTTTAAAAAATGATCATGATTGAGTCACGCTTTGGGGTGGCCAATTATGCACACTGTTATCGCTTCAAGTTAACCTATATATAGCTGGTAATTCCTATCGCTATAGATTGAATCCTGTAAGGTTACGTCCCTGTATTTTGTCCTCTTACCGTTTATGTAGCTCCATATGAGTGACAACACTTTTTGCATGCGTTAGGAAGTTACGGGGATCATCTTCTAGCGCTCCGGTCTTTCATCCCACTGTCATGTAAAACTTTCGGCAAGCTGAAACTTTTTGAAATCTGTACCTTAAGTCCCAGGATTGACAGCTTAGCTGCGAGTTATCTCAAACAACTTCGACTCTTCACATTTGGGACCTCCTGGAAGAAACCAAAACATCTCTTTCATGGCGAAAATTGAAAAAGTTTCACTCTGTTCATCTTTTGAAAAGCAGTTTTCACTAAACAATCAAGTTAATGGGCGTTGCACTAGAAATTCATTAAGTCCGTTAATAACATCCAGTGTTGTTTAGTGTAGGACCCTGTGCATTCTTCATCTGGGCTTCCATGTAGCGTAACGTCTACGGGAGCACTACCTTGTTCTCTGGAGTACCGACCCAAACGAAACTCGAGGCAGCCTGTGTACCGTACAGTTGGTGGTGAAGTATCACCAAAGAGAGATGCATTTGAATCTCTGTTGTATGTTTTGTAGAAAAAATTAGTTTGAAAAATAGCTTACTCTGAATTAGGCGAGGACGTTCAATGATCAGTGATATGCAGGAGGCTATTATAGTGAATTTATTCATTGTGAAGATGTGTTAGGAGTGATCTCACTCGAACTCAGTTCCTGAAACAGAAAGGTTCGATGACAAATTTATGAAATGCCCTTTGGTTCGAACTCTAGAGAATTGTATGTCCTTGTGCTAGATGAACAGTTAATACCCATGGAAAGCCGTTCACTATCGATTAATTAGGTCCCCAACATGCCTGATAAATAAGACATCAATCTTCAATTGCCAGTCGGCAAAAAAAACATTGTTATTCGTCGCACTGAATTTTTTAACACATTAATAAGTTTGGGGTGCGTTGTCCGATGACAGAGGGTAAGGTAATATCACCAGAAATTGCCCATTCACACATTCTTGCTTTGTTGAACTTTCCGATTACAGCCTTTTAACCTTGTTGTTGCAGAAGCTGCAAACACGCATGAGGCATCCGCTGCGATTTACACACCCTGGATAACTTTCTTCAGGAAGCCCAGTCATGTTGACGGCCATCGTTTGGTAAAATTACAAGGAGGAAAGTTGGCGTTGTGAGCAATCAACAAAAGGGCAAGGCTCACCATCGTCCAAGAGTCGTGAAAAGTGATACTGGAGTTAGATTTGTGTCAAACTTTTACTACCTTTTGTAGCTACGTTAGAAGCAAAGATATTGGACGAGTCTTGAATACTCACTAAGAGTAGAGGTGTGTTTTTGTTTCCCAGTCATATTGGGCAACAACACCGAAATCCGTCACAAGGACAATCTAATAGGTACACAGAAATAACTAGAATTCCGGAAGGATGGTATGTTCTGCGTTCTGTATATTTTATCTCCCTCCTTCCGTTCTGTTCTAGTATATTATATTCCTTTCTATTCAGTTTCTATTCTGTTCTACCCAACCTCTATTCTAACTGTTTTGGGAAGAACTCCGAATCTACTGAAGAATGATGTATAATATACCTGCATATATCTGCAGTTGTAAGAGTGTACGATCGACATGGACTCTAGTCTTTGAATGACAGTGGGCTGTTGTGCTCTTAAACTATTGCACTTTAAATACTACTGAGATGTGCGAACGACCTTGATTTGACAGAGTATAGTTAACGTACAGCGGTGCCTTAAATTCACATACTGCTCCGAGTGTAGTACGTGCTAACTTAGGCAAACAGGGTGCTGTATATACAGTAGCTAATATTTTCACTGTTTTGATTTATTTACATAAAGCCAACCAATCAATAAACTCTATTAATGCTCATGATTAGTTCCCACTAACAACTTATGAATCTCCAGCTGGACTTCCTTCGTTTGCAGTTTTGGTTTGTTGCATATTGTCCAAGCGACGTTCCTACATTAACAGACAAGCTGCCAAATGCCTGATGAGAAAGTCTTGTTCACGTGTCCAGGAGGAGTATGACATGCATACAGGAGTGCCTCAAGCACAAAACCCTTGTGGATGGGACGTATGATTATTTTCAACCCACCTCAAAATCACGCCGATTCAGTCTCTCATCCGTATGAACCTGGTGTACAGAGGGTTGAGGAAAGATGTTTCCGAGTTAAAATCCGTGGCCTGGCCAATTCGTTGATGTGAACACTCATAGTTTCCTCGTGCAGTCAGGATTGAGGCGGCTTAGCACTTGAGAAATTGCGCCAATCGTGACGTGACTGTGTCATATCCGTCTCAACGTTGTCATATCTCATTGCTGGGTCTTCTCCGGACTGATGGAGTTTACTCACACAGCTAAGTTTACGCCTTGATGACTAATAGTCCCTCCACATTCACTTTAAGCAGTACCGTTAGGTTAACGTTGTAATATGGTCAAATTATTCGTCTACGTGCTTTGTCGATTGGATAGGTGACCTGAACTCACTCTTCGGAACTAGCTTGTTCTTGCAATCGGTTTTAGCGCTCACGTCGAAAAACTCAGGCACACGTAATCCCGAGTTGCATCTACAGGTCGTGAAATCTGCTGTGCTGTGTTTTGGCTTTGGACTTTCCGTACAGTACTTTGATGTTGTTTTGCCAAGAGGGAGCACATCTAGTCAGTCCCCTCGAGTGGATTCTCAAAAGGAAGATCGGCGTAGACACAGACCCAAAAACCGACTTCATATGTGCAAAGAGGAATCCTGGATACGTCGACATATACGATACGTAAATTCTGAAGCACAAGGTGACACCCAAAATTAAAACAGCTTATTTTCGTAAAGGAAACTACTCACAAGGTTGATGAAAATTCTTCGACCTTCTGAGTAGTTTCCTTTATGATAATATACTGCGATATCTCGAATATCTTGCCAACTGAATCATGAGGCGGCCTGTGTGCAGCACATTCAGTTGTAGAATATCATGAACGAGAGATTCAGTTGAGTCTCTCGTGAAAGCCAAGTTGATTTGCAAATTAGTGTATTTCTTTAAAACAAGCTTAATTCAAACAGGCTGCTGGATGTTTGAAATAGTGTAATTCTTCCGGAAGGAGACATCCAAGAGAAAAGTTGCCTTATGGCATCCTATTTGATTTTCAGACACCTGTCTTAATTTGTCAGTAACTAATGACTACCACCAGAAATCGGACCCATCTGATTATCGGCGAACATTGTTCAGTGTTCAGAATCTGTTAATTAAAAGGTCACAATCCGGTTCCTCTATATCAATTTGATAAGTCTTGATAGAGAAAAAAAGCATTCGTGTGAATGAGTCTTTCGGTATCCTGTCACAACTCAATATTAGGTGCAACCGATTTCGCCTGGTTTCACAAACTAACCACCGAAGTATGCGTTTAGGAAAAGAACCGTTGTTTCCATTCCATCAGTACGGTACTGATAGTTGAAATAAATAACTTGCTGACTCAGCACTCTTGGTGACTTGATACTGGTGGATGTTCTAGTGTGCTGTGTCAAATCCCTTACGAAGCATGAATGAGTTACGCCTCCAAAGATGGTGTCTTCGAAATGGATGAATTCACAAGAAGAGAGCACAATCACCTGGTACCAAATTATTTGTAATCCAAACCCGAGTTCACAGAATCCCTATTTCTTACACAACTTTCGTAGTACTAGCTCATCCACACAGATGGGCAAAAAGTTCAAACGGCGTCCAGGAAGGATCATCATGTTAACCGAACCGGAAAGATTGGATCCCAAGTTGAACCCGAATTCATGTAGGTTTCCCCATCGGCTTCAAACCTGGTAACCCACCCTAACACACAAAGTCTCTTGGCTGACACCTGATGCAGATTTAGCCTTAAGTCTCGACCAACCTCGTTACCTAGTCACTTGGCCTGACGAAACATTTGTGTCAAAAGTGAAACGCTGCCCAGCACTAAATCTACCTGTTGTTACCAAACCTTTCCGAAAACAATGACTAATCAATTGGCTCCAAGCGTTTTTCAACTGAGTGAACTACGAACATTCTTCTCAGTAGTAAATGAGGGCGTCTGTGATCAGCCCAAAGAGGGCTTGTCTGTGTCCATAATGTGTGGAAGGCGGCAACACCGGCC